ACCTTATTGCCGAATATTTTTTAACTAGAAATATTTTTTTGCCAAATGATTTTATTGCCGAATACTTATTTTTTGCCGAATGTTATATTTTTTTTTTGCCGAAGGATTGTGTTTTTTTTAAGTACCGAGTGGCATAAATTGGACCAAACAACAAAACTTCGATATAAACTTTTATTAATAAATTTGGATTTAATTAACTGTAATTCGGCAGTCGAATAACCCAATTTGGACTAGTGTTATTTGTCATAAAATATTACCACTATTGCCCCTCTTCAAAAATTTACTTTAATCCCTTCCAATAGAAATAAAGCTTAGTATAATATCAGTAAACATGCAGACTACTGATCAAATAAAAAGATTTCTTTGTTCAATAGATTAGTCTTTATATCTAATGTAAATTAGAAACAAGCTATAGTAAATATTATTATCTGGAGCAATCCCAATAAAAGTTGGATATTATTAGCAACAGATATGTTATAGTATTGTTTTAAATAGTAGTCTTAGATAAATATAAACATTGTTATAGGACAAACTTTTCAGTCAGACAATATACTGGTGCATATTAAATAAATAAATAAATATATATATTATTAATATTCTATAATCTCTTTTTGTTAATTACTAATTAATAATACATATTAATTAGTAAAATTATGTTGAATTAATAATTACTATAAGTTTCAAGTTTCACATCACCACTTTAGAGCTTCAGAATTGGCAAATATCATGTGACTTTGGATATATGTTTTAGTTTAATAATTAATGTTTTTTGGTCAGAAGTCTAAATTTTTTATTATTAAGAAATTAGTATTGACAATATTTTTTCAACTATTAATAAAAAATATTTTTTTTATCAAAATACCCATAGTCTCTTAAGATTGTTTGAAAGATTGTTATCTGATTTTTTAAAAAAAATTGAGATTTTTGCTGAATGTCTATAGATTTATTATATATAAATACAAAAATTAAATGGTTTTCCCAACTACAGGTAGTAATAAAGGATTTATTCCAATGGACTATAATTAATATTGACAAATTTTTGTTTACCAAAACAAACTTTTCAAATATTTTTTTTTCTTTTTTTTTTTTAAAAAATAAAATTTTTTTACTTTTATAGAATCACAGCAATAATATAGGAATGTCAGTTTTGAATGAAAGCTGGTTGTGATGTTTTAAACTGGTAAAAGTATCAGAATAAAATTGAGCAATATTTTTATTTCCCATTATTACATCTAGAGATCTTAGGCTTATGATAGATATATTGTATAACAATATAATAGTTTGACTTTATTATAGTATTCTTAATACAAATGTATAATTGTTTTTTAATAAACTAAATGACTTGCAGCCCTAATTTGGAATAAATAATAATAATAATAATAATAATAAAATAAAATAAAAAATAATTTTTTTTTTGATATTTTACAAGTTTTGCATCGTACTATCATACGTATAGCATATCATATTAACCGATGATCAGATTGACATAGTATCGAAATTGATGCATTTAATGATGTGCATTCATTAAACTATTTTTAATATAATGCACATGATTAAATGATGATACATCTATCAAGAGTTGACCAGTACTTAGAAATCTTGTTAACTTACTTGTGGTTATTTTCTTTATAAAATGTTTTTTGCCATGTCTCGTAGCTAAATAAGAATAAGATAAATGAAGAAATATTTTTAAAAGGGCAGAATATTATGTTATAGCTATCTCGTCGCTTTATCCAGCTAAATTCTTTTTTATACGTTTTTAACATAGTAAAATGACTATCAATATGAAAAGGTTTACAATTTTCTTCGTGAATCTCCTTTAGAACATATTACTGCAGTCTCCGTAGTCCATCAAGTAATAGAAAAAGAGCCATGGTACTTAAAGGAAGATTCAAGACAATTGACTTATATTGCAATTACGTCCATAAAGAATCTTTATGAAGAGGATTCAGAAAAATATAAGAAACTCTGTGAGATTCCTTTTAAGGTTAGTTTTTTACTTTTGGAATCTATTTTTATTGCCATATGATGAATAGTGCAGAATCTTGATAATCGGAATTAGGTTTAATTAAATGTATAATTCCTTAGACGCATGGAGATATTTTCTTAATCTTGGTAATTAGATTAAGTAGATATCCAAAGCCTGCAAGTACAGGTTTATTCAATATATTAATTCCTTAGACGCATGGGGATATCTTCTTAATTTTGGTTTTAGATAGATAATTATAAATAAGTTATGTAAATTATCACCTATGTGCTGGCCACACATAGTTGATGATTATAATCTGATAGCTGCGCGCATATATTTTATTATAAGTTTTTAGAATAATCACTAAATATAATTTGTTTTCTGCACTAGTTTGATGACGCTTTTGAAGGGGTGTGTAGCCTTCGAGATATCGATTTAGCGAAGCGGGTAGAACAGGTGTCCATTGAAGAGATTGAAACGAATTTGTGAAAATTAAAGTTGAATATTGGTAGAAGTAAAGCTCCCTACGCTAAAAAATTAATGAAATATCTTAAAAAAATAATACCTTCCAGCCTTTCATGGAAGGATCCAGAAGCGAATCAAGTAATTAGTAGCGATTCAGAAATTATAAAGCGTCTATCTGAGGAGACAGAAGATGAATATAAAAATTATATGGAGCCGGTAAAACACATGGAAGGATCGATCCCCCTTCATGTTAAAAATATATGTAATGCATTTGTGGTAAGTTATAATAATAATAGCATGTATGAGGAAGTGCCTATTAAACTTTCACATAAGAGTTGAAATGAGTCAGAAGAAGTTCTTGTGGAGGTTGCGACTGGAATTCTCGATATAATGTTAGTATAATTATGTTCTTTTATTTTGAAAAATTATTGATAACCTTTTCTGTTATTTGAACTAGTGGAGGTGCCTGGAAGAATCCAGCATTTGGGGAGAAATTCGCAAAATCACAAAGCGAAGGGACATATGTGACAGATATTATAGTCCCTTTAGTGAAAGCTTCATTAAAAAAACTATCAATAAAGAGTTCCGCTTTTGTTAGCACGTAAGTATATTATTTACTTTTTTTGGACAATCTGCATTTATATATCTTATTTGTATAGAGCGGAACGACAGAGCATAGCAAGTAAAGATCGACGGGGGAAAACTGGAAAACGCCCTGATATTATGTTTATGGTAAAACGTGGAAGAAAAATATATGAATTAATGTTTGCCGAATGCTCTCGTCTTTTTTGTGATAAAGAGAAGGAAGATAATGATTGGGTAAAATTATGGAGAGAAATGAATGATGGTATGTATTGAGCGCATAAAGGGTGCAAGCCGAAAAAAGAAAAATTTGGAATTATTGGAATACAAGTTGCTGGACAAAAGCTTCATCTGTACGTTCTCATTCGGGATGGAGATGGGATAAATAGGCTTTTTAGACTACGTTCAGTGGATATCCTGATACAATTTACAGATAAATAACTTTGTGGAGGCGTTATTGCTATTTCGGGTATTATTTAATTATTAATATGTGCTTTCTATATAATAGAATATACTGAATCTAACTATCTCTTTTTTTTTTAGAAAATCCTAATTGTTAATCTATTATTAAATGCGGATTGTGGTTTACATGGATATAAAGAAGACAGTCCAACAGTATCATCTCCTCTGTATGAAAATTAGATTTTATTGGCAATATAATTTTTTTTTATATACCATATTAATAAAGCCGCTAAATTTTTTTTTCTGATAACCATCACGTATTATTTATTGGCATAATGTTCATAGTATAATCTGCTAAAAAAAATTTTCTCTGATAATCATCACGCAAAATGTTCATAGTATAATCCGCTAAAAAAAATTTTGATACAGTAACCATCACGCATTATTTATTGGCATAATGTTCATAGTATAATCCGCTATCACATAGTATAATCCGCCAAAAAAAAATTTCTAATAACCATCACGCATAATGTTCATAGTGTGATCCGAAATTGATTCGTGTGTAAAATAGATTGATTAATATACTCGACATGGCATTACGGAATTTCTATATATTACAAGTAAGACACGGGTTTTATTCTTAGCACAGTAAGACGCTTCTAATGTTTTTATGTCAGATTTGATAATTTTGATCAAGTTATTACAGTGGTTATCATAAGTAACGCATCACTTGATTAAAAAATTTAAAGTTGATTTTTTCTTTAATTATTTAATATAAATTTGAATTATCATTTCATTAAATACTTAATTAAATAAAATAATATATTAATGAACAAATTTACTTGATAAATTTTTATTTAATATATTATTAAATTTTGTTAAAATAAATTGTTATATCAAAAAAATTTTTTTAAAAAAATAATTTTAATTTAATTAAATTATGTATAATAATTTTAATTAAAATAATTAAAAATGATTTAACAATGTTTAATTAATTAATTAATTAATTAATGATAAAAAAAAACTTTTTTTTATAAATTTTTTTTTGCTAAAAATTTTCTTTTATAATAACTAACAATCTTTAAAACAGATCTTTTTTTTTTTTTCAAATATCTTCAAGTACACATTTTACAATTACTACTTTTCTATAGAAATTTTAATATATATATATATATATAGTATATTTACTGCAAACAAGTATAAAATGTGAGACTTTATTGATTAAATTTATAATCCTATTATTACATTAAGCATTCATTTAAGTTAATACAATAGTTCTGATAATTAGAATTAAACAGAATTACAGAGAATCATATAAGATTCAAAACACTATTAAAAATAATAATAAGTATATTTCACCTATTAAATTTAATATAAACTTGAGAATCAAATACAGAATTGAAGAGAATTATTAGGATCTTTAATTAATAAAGCAAGCATATCAATTCTAATCATAACTTGAAAGCCAACTTGTATATGGTGGCTGCAGTGCCTTTATATAATTAAGTAATCAAAATTCTCTAGGTAGTTAGATGCCATTCAAAGTATAATATAGAATTTAAATTTTATTTTTCTATATTCTTGGATACTAGCCTATTGCATAAAAAACTTCTAAAATAATAAAAACATTATATAAATAAAATCACAGTAGAAGTGGTTTATAAATAGCTTATATCAGAAAATTTTTTAAGTAAAGATCTTTAAAGATCTTCAGATATAGACCTCCAGAGGACCTTCATTATTATTAAAAAACTCCAGAGTAAAAATTTATATATTAATCTTCAGAGATTTTGATTTATTTTAATAATAATAAATTACAGGAGTACCCAAAATTATTTGGAATTTTTCTCAATATGTATAACTTAATAAAAACTTATCGAAATCAAATACAAATTTACATATAAATATATGAATACTATTGTTATAGTGTGATATGGCGAGTCTGTCGCTTCGATCTGGCCTACGCCGTGTAACAGTCGTAATTCGTCTTCCTTTGAAATAGGCGTGTATGTTTTTGGTCGAGTCTATGTTGTGGATCTATTAATGTATTAA